AAATATAAATATAAATAAAACTAAAAATTATACATATATATATATATATATATATATATATATATATATTAGTTGGTGCAAAAAATAATGACGTAATAATGTCGTTTTTGACGTACGTCAAAAAACGACATTCTTACGTCATTATTTTTGCACCAACCTTATATATATATATATATATATATATATATATATTTAGTTGTATGGATACAACTGAGTAGGTTAGTTCTATCATTGATATTGAGCACTTTCCAATAAGTACCGCGCATATATAATATATATAGAGAAAAAATATATATAAAAACATATATATATATATGTGTATGTGTGTGTGTGTGTGTGTGTGTAAATTGACAACCCAACATCAATAAAATAATGACAAATTCATGAAAAGCATGCTAAATATATTTTAAATAAAAAAACCTTGGCAACGTGAACACTCATGTGAAAACGCGTAATCGCTATAACTGAAAATGAAGTACCCAACATCGTTTTAATTTAATTTTTTTATTTTAATTTTTGATTTAATAAGCGTAGACTAGATGTGAATCGAGGCCATAGGCATGTTACACCTAGTGAGGAGCGAACTCGCTACTCAGTCGTAATTGATCTAGTGAGTCAATCTTGCAAAGCACGACAATCTAACGGGGAAAAACTTTATAATAATGGCTAACCATAACCTCAAGTATTCAGAGTGGACAATTATATATAATGTGTACAGAAAACCAAAACAATGGACCGTTCTTTGGGGCAGGAGTAGAGGTTCATTCTTTGTTTTCCGTTTAGGATTAGGTTTCCAGTTTCCTTCTAAAGTCTACTTCATCTCTGTATTTGTAACGTCTCCGCTTAAACTCCGAAATTTTATTTATTATTTATTTATTTTCTTTTCTCGGTCGGACTAGATCGGTTTGCCTATCGCTCGCTTCACACACCTGCCCGTTCTTTTGAACAGGAGTAGAGGTTTATCCCTTATTTCCTGTTTAGGATTGGATTTCCGGTTCTAAAATATTTTAATCCTCTTTCATTCCCAGTAGCCCCTCTACGTCTTAGTGGTATTATCGCCTTGGTTAGGTGAATTATATATATATATATATATATATATATATATATATATATATATATATATATATATATATAATTAACAAATTGGAGACTTCAAAGAGCCGTGGTAATATCTTGTTTCGCGAAATCGATAATTCGATTTCGCTTCGTCAGACCAGGCGGTTTCAAGACAATGAATGGATTCAAAAATTCTTCGAAGAATCCTATATATATATATATATATATATATATTAAAGCTCTCAGAATAAATCTGTAGAGAAGACAAACTGAATAAATTAGGCAATAGTCCTTGCCGACGCGTTTCAAGTCAAGTGATGATAAACAAAAAACGAAATGTGTAGTTACATGAAATTCAATATTCTGAGATCTGAGAAGACATTGTCGACATAGAAAACAAAAACACATTCTTAGAATAAAAAAAACAAGAAAGAAAAATTTACAAATATGGAAAAAAGAGGTTTACACAAGAGGGTCTTTTTAAAACTTTTGAATTTGATGTAAGTACACAAAATTTCGCTTTTGTTTATCATCATTTGCTTTGATAAACTCAAATGACGAAACGCATCGGCAAAGACAAAGGACCCTTTTCCGTTCGTCTATTTTATATATATATATATATATATATATATATATGAAGAAAAATATACGGAAAAACAAAAATCCGAATATACAAATATGCTGTTTTAATGTTATTTCACTGTCGACGTCAGACGTTTCGGTCTAGTAGACCTTCTTCAGAACATAGTTATTAAAATATAATTAATATTAAACGATATTAAACGAGTCAACATGAAAACGTGATCATATTGTGAAACTGAACGCTGATCATAAAACTTTCAGTTATTCTGTTTTGATTAGTCTTACTCTTATGTCTATCGTCTTTTCATTTTTTACCAGTGCTCATATTGCAATTTTAGTTAGATCCAGTGCCAGGACCCAAAGAGTTCAATACCTGGTTAAGCCGGTGGAGAAAACAGGTGATTACTAATATCCATTAGACATGGCACGTGGAACTAGAACGGTCTACCCCAGTGAGCGAAATAAAGGTTTCAATTCGACATTCCAGCCACCTGAAGAAAGCCGGGGTGTACAACGGCCGAAATGTTGTGATAAATATGGCCACAAAGATTAGGACAACAGTCCGAATAATATAAATAGTGTACATAATACCTCGTCTCAGAAATATAGACAGATACTAATCAGCTCAAATATAAACTAATCATATTTTTTATTAAGTAGCGTAATCTGGAAAAGCCAAATGCTGATCTCAGTTAGTATGCAGAGAATACTGTGTTTTTATGTAGCAAGGTGTGTAGATTAGTGGACCTCCCAAGTTGAAATTTGAGGTGTTCTTAAACGAAGCCGCTTTTAAATGTGTGGAGAAAGCAACATTTCTTTTTTATCCAGTGGGTAAAAAGAATACGCTTCTTGGGCCAGACATCTGAGCAAGCAAAGAAGAAATCGACTAGGCGTCGTCATGTCAAATATTACAAAACACACAAGGTACCTCGTCTCACTACACTCACTTAGATTTGATTTTGTCTGGAGTAAAGTGAAGAAAACGCACATAGAAGTTGTTTTTCTTTAATAAGAATCCTGAAGAAAGAAGAGGAAGAGAAGCGAGAAAATAAAAAGCGGGAAATAATGACAACAGGTAGATAAGGAGGCGGGAAAAAACAGGGAAGGAGAGGCTAATCGTAATGAAAATGAATAAAGTATGAAAGAAAAATAGGAAAAGGAATGAATGAAAATAAGTGAAGAAGAAAGAAGGAAAAGTAAAATGAGAGAAGGAAGAGAAAGAAAGCGAGAAAAATAAAAATGAAATGGAGGGAAAAAAAAACCTGCGAAGAAGGTGTTGCGGAATCTATGCTGAGTAAAGATGTATCAGAAGATGACTTTTTTTTGTGAAGGCCAAGAATTTGCGTGATTGTAATGCATTTATCCCCAACAAATAAATCAAACAAAAATAGACAATTCAACTTTGCTTAAATACCCCTCAAAAGGATTACGAAGCATGCTTTTTTTATTGTATGCAGGAACACAACTCATTGGTTGATAAATGTTAAATATTTATTTTCAAAGCATTAACTTATTACTTAGAATAATGCGTAATCCTTCAACTCAGAAACCATTTCTTGTTATTTTGATCTTTGACTGACTTCATGTTTATTTGCGTCTTCACTCCACGTTCTCATGTCATACTGATTAACAAACACGATGAGATTCAATTCTGTTTTGTTATTTAACCCATAATTGGGAGAGAGGAAATGGATTCATACCTTTCCCAAGGGTATTTGAGCGAAAGTGAATGTAGGTATCTCGACTGGTATTCGAACTCAGCTCGCTAATTTCCCGTTCCGAGTCTCCACAATCTTCACATCCATGTGTTTTTTTAAATAGACAAAGCAAAATTTAAAATGTAAATAATTTAATTGATACAAAAGGTTTTTTTCAGTACTTTAGCGAAATCTTAGAAGTGCACTGGAAGTTTCCTCAAAACTTTATTGTATAATTTTCATGAATCGCATGAGCAAGTGATCATTTTAATTTGGTGAAAGTCATGACTGAGTGTAAAATTTATATTTGACACATTTTGCTATCCAGATAAAAATCTGGGAAAACTCCAAATGGAGTTAATAATGTAGTAGGTGCAAGCACGTCTCGGGAATGGTTTGCAAAGTCAAAAAGAAATTTCTGATCAATAAGAAAAAAAAAACTTCCCTGAATTCAAAAAGGAGTAAGTTGGAGGTATTTTAAAGAAGATGTATCACACAAACATCTAAATTTGGAGAAATTATTTTAAGAAAAGATGAATGGTTGTCAGCAAGAGGAAATGCCCAAGATATGAACTATTAATGGAGATGTCAACATTAAACGGATACAGAAATTAAAATATCTGAGAAATGGTCTTAACAGAGGACAGCGAAATCCGAAAGCACATTAAAATGCTTTCCAAAAGCTAAGCAAAGTAATAAGAAACAGGAAAATGTTATTATAAACAAAGAAAAGTGTTGAATTGTGATATCAATCCTCTTAAAGTAACAGGTAAGGCAGCTGGTCACCTTCCTGACGAGGTTATGTGAATGGATGGCGATTGGAGGCATGACAAATAGGTTGTTAAGAGCTACAAGAATAGGAGGTTGTGGAGTGTCATGATTGCGCACGTCCTGAAGAGACACGGCACATAGAAGTTACTGTATTAATGAGTGAAATACTGGAATCATTTCGAATTTCCATTGAGGCTATAAGGCATGAACCATTTAACAATCCACACCAAGCTATGGGTTAAATAACAGGACGCAGTGGCATTTCTGATTTTAGCTGGCGATCAGTCTAGGAGAAAAGCAACCCTGAATTCAGAACCATGAAGACAACGGAAAAAAGCACTAACATAACCCCAAAACAATGATGACAATATAATTATTACTGATCCTCTGGACACACGTAGAAAGCATAAAGTTTTTATAGAATTTCTGTTTTTGGAGAGAGAAATTGCTGCAAACATTTCCAGGGGATTAATGAATGTTTATGGAAAGGCTACACTTGATTTAAGCACAGTTAGGAGATGGATCATTAGTGTTGTTTTCTTCTTTATGCCTCTTGATTCCTTGGGGAACACAGGGACGCAACAACACCTCTCCACCGGACGCGGTTCCGGGCGATCCTCTTCATCACGGATCATGTCGTGCCGGCTGCCTTCACCTCTGCGTCAACACTTCTACGCCAAGCCTGTTTTAGTCGACCAACATTTCGCTTCCCTTATGGATTCCAGTTAAGGGCCTGTCTGGTGACACTAGAAGCAGGCTTGCGGAAAGTGTGGCCAATCCATCCCCATTTCCGTTCCTTGATGTCAAATTCGAATGTGGTTTGTCTGGCCCTGTCCCACAGTTGGTCGTTGGAGACGACTTCCGGCCACCTGACATTGAGGATGTTCCTGAAACATGGGTTGGGCATTGATCACCGAGAGAAAAGAACTGAAAGACCAGATCAACCAGACCCAAGACCGAGAAGAAAAGCAGGAATTGCAAACACGCTACTGGGAGAAGAACCGGAAAGTAAAGAAAAGACAAGAGAAACTTCATTGATAACTTGATCCAAGAAACAGAGAATGCGGCAAACCAAATAAACTGACCTTAGAAAGCAGATTTGTCTTTACGACTCTGGTCTATCATCCTTAAATAATTTGCTCAAAGACAAAAATAAGTTCTGAAATTGAAATTATTGTGTGATAAGGGCGACTCTCTTGATACTGTACAATCAAATAATAATGTCCGGATACTTTTTTCCGAGCACACTCGTCAGCTAAGGCAATCCCTCCTTCAAACACCTGCTCAGGAACATTTGCTTTTGTTCATCATCCACCTTTGGTTTATACTGTAACAATACTGAGCGAACCTTAGTGACAGTTTCTGGGAGGGGAGTATAATTTGGTGTGATCAACAATTTGAACAAGGCCAGTACGCACAAAGTCTCGGTCACGCTGACTTTTGACTTCGTGCTAGCATAACCATCGGCTGCCCCTGAACAGTTCCATCTACTCAATTTCACTCACAATTCTTGGATCAACACGTCGTATGGTTTTCAGGTACTTTTCCTTCCTTCATTCCTTCTTTCTTTCTTTCTTTCTTTCTTTCTTTGGTCTTTCTTCTTAGAGATGCTTTCTTTCTTTTCTCATTTTCTTCGACTGTACGACATTTGTTTCCTTCTCTGTTTTTTAAATTATTTTCTCTACATTTCTACTATCAAGTGATCCAGTGTTCATTCCTTCCTGCATTCGTTTGTTCATTCCTTCATTTGTTCCATCCTTCTTTCGTTCCTTCCTTCCTTTCTTCGTTTTTTCATTCTTTGTTTCGCTAGTTTGTTCATTCCTTCCGTTGTTCGTTTTTTCATTCTTTGTTTCGCTAGTTTGTTCATTCCTTTCGTTGTTCGTTTGTTTATTCTTTCATTCGTTCGTTTCCTTCCTTCGTTTGTTCATTCCTTTCTTCTTTCCTTCGTTTGTTCATCACTTCACTGGTTCATTCATTCCTTCGTTGGTTCGTTTATCCAACCCTCCCTTCCATTCTTCCTTCCTTCCTTTGTTCATTTCTTTCTTTGTTCGTTTCTTCATTCCTTCCTTTTTCCTTTGTTCATTTCTTCTTTCGTTCGTTTGTTCATTCCTTCTTTCCTTCCTTTTTTCGTTTCTTCATTTCTTCCTTCATTGGTTCTTTCATCCCTTCCTTCATTTCTTCATTCCTTTCTTTTTTCGTTTGCCTATTTCTTCTTTCGTTCGTTTCTTCCTTCCTTCTTTCCTTCCTTCCTTTATCTGTGCATCACTTCTTTCGTTCATTCGTTCGTTCGTTTTTTCATCCCTTCCTTCGTTCGTTCGTTTGTTCATTGATTCCTTCCTCCTTTCGTTCATTTGTTCGTTTGTTCACTCCTTCCTTCGTTTGTTCTTTCCTTCCTTCCATCGTTTCTTCCTTCCTTTGTTCATCCCTTTCTTCCTTCGTTTATCCCTTCGTTTGTTCATTCCTTTGTTTGTTTGGCCATTTCTTCCTTCGTTCGTTTGTTCATTCCTTTGTTTGTTTGTTCATTCCCTCCTTCCTTCGTTTGTTCCTTCCTTCTTTCCTTCCTTCCTTCCTTCGTTTGTTTATTTCCTCCTTTTCTCCTTCACTTTGCTTCTAATTATTTTTTCAAATGTACCCCGTTTGCTTTTTTCCCAAACATTTTTCTTTGTTTACCCTTTTCAACATTGCACCGTTCATTCATTTCTCCTTCTTTTCATTCCTTCTTTCTCCTCTGCGTTTCTCGTAAAATTTACCTTTTTACCGTCCGCCATGTTTTCTTCGTTCTCCATTTTGCTTTATTTTCCACTGTTAGTCATTCGCCTTTTGCATTCTTTTTTCTTTTGCATCTTTTCTCCAAATTTCTCCTTCCGCCGTAGGACTTTTTACTCCAGTTTTCCCACCCATTTAACTCTTACTATTACTCCGCCAAAGTTTCCAATCTGTCTCTTTTTTTTCTTTTTCTCTCTATTTCCAAATTTCTCCTTTGAACCTTCGCGCATACTTGTCTTTCCTTTTTCACGGCAGCCATTTTTTCCTTTCCATTCTTTTATCGTCCATCTTTCTTGTTTCCTATGTTTTTTTCTTCTTCTTTGTATTTATTCTCCTTTTTCCATTTTTCTTCTACCCTGAGCTTCCGAGTTTAGCTGCCATTAAATGTACTGAAGTGACAACATTATTCTCTGTCGTCTGCCGGCCGCAAGCAGGACATTTTCTGTCTGCCTCGTTCGTGCGGCAGATAAAGCTCTTTCATGACCGCAGACGACATCAAAGGAAATTTGATCGCCTACCTGTCTCTTTGAAAATCTTTAAACATGTGTCAACCTGGAACTCTTATGTACAAGGTCTCCGTTACTCATAAAAGTCACCGACTAAAAGCACTTACCACTAATTCTTCTTTCTCGATGACTTCTCGTCAAACAAAGCTTTAAATTTTAAATCAGCACCTTCTCGTCTAACCCGAGGCCTCAACGTCCATACACATCGCTTACCTTCTATTTATCACCTGATTTTTTCTTCTTCTTCTTCCTAAGTGTCATTCATACGCTTGTAAATCGCGTAAAGAAAGAAGACAAGTCAGAAGGTGGAAGGTTTATACTTAAGTTAGAAAGAGTACCGAAAGGTAAGTCGCGTCTGAGGTGAGTGGTTCATGGGGGATAGTTTATAGGAGAGTAAAATTACTACTGACTAACAAGACAGTTTCTGGTATGTGATGTTGGTAACGACGACCCTCATTATACATGAAATATCCTGATAAAGGCCAGAGGCACATCAGCCGAAAGGTTGTGATAACAACAACAAAGATAAGGACAATAGTTTTAATGTACATAGTATAAATAAAGATAAATCCTCATCCCAGGATGTAGAATAATATCCAAATAAAAGTAAAGATTTTCTCTACCAACAGCGACAAACCTGATGAAGGCCGGAGAGCACAGCGGCCGAAACGTTGTGATAACAAGAACAAAGATAAGGACAATAGTCTGAATATAAATAGTGCAAATAAGGATAACTTTTCATTCCAGGATTTAGAATAATATCCGAACAAATGTAGAGATTTTCTCTACCAACAGTGAAACACCTGATGAAGGTCGGCGAGCACAGCGGCCGAAACGTTGTGATAACAACAACAAAGATAAGGACAATAGCCTGTATATAAATAATGTAAATAATGATAACTACATATCTCAGAACTTTAGACAGAAATTATCGAATCGATACGGACTCGATGTGATACCCTAATGTATTTACACCTGATGAAGGCCGGATGACACAACGTCAGAAACATTGTGATCCCAACAACAAAGATAAGCTCAATAGTCCTAATATAAATAGTGTAATGAAAAGTATTGTATTATTTCCAACTTTTGTTAACTTTTTTCATATAAATATTATTATTGCTGCAACCTTTCGACCAATTACTCTCTGGTCATTATCAGATGTCCATTGATTGGCTCATATCTGTTGATTGATTATTATGAAATTTTGTCCCTGTAATATCAGTTATTGTTCGTTCCTGTTGAATTGGTGCGTCACTATCAGATCCAAGGATTGAACTTATGGCCACTGGATGATAATAGACATGTATATCCAACTCCTGTATCCACTACACCACCGTCCCGAAGGGCATTAGCGGCGTATATTTTTTATGCCAACCAAGGTAAGAACAATCATTCGAAATAATCTACAGGATGTTGCAGCAAAATGCAACACTTTATATTTCAATCTAAGAGCCGCCACTGTTGGCGACGACCATGTCAAGGCGGGTACGAAATGAGTCACACGCTTTGGCGACCATGTCCTTATTCATAGTGGCGAAAGCCTTCACGATCGTAGCCTTCAGAGAGACGGCCGTGTTGTGGGCGTGCTTGCTGGTCTCGGCCTCCATCAGAAGAAATAGTCAAGGGGGTTGCAATCGGGTGAGGAGGGCGGCCACAAGTCCGGCGACCAGTGGTGAGGAACATTGTTGAACAGTCACGCCTGGGTCGTCTTGGGCTTGTGTGCAGGAGCGGAGACCTGTTGGAAGACGAAGGGGCGTCCGGCGGCGATGTCGTCCATCCAGGGCTTCACCACGCTTCTCAGCAAATCCCGGTAGATCTCAGCGGTGACTCTCATGCCCTTTTGAAAGAATAATGGTGGCATGACGACCCCCTCGCTGGAGATGACACCAAGGACCATGAAAAGTTTCTATGCGTCACGACGGGGACCTCCTCGATGTCTTTGCAGATCTACCTATCATTCTGTCTGTTGCTCATCTGGTCCTAGATGAAATTCTTTTCATCAGAGAAGGACCTCAGTATCCCGGCGGACCCGTGCTTGAGCTCGTTGAGCAAAGCCACCGCCTTGACCTTCCTCGACTCATTCGAGCCATTCGTGATGAGAATGAGGTGAGATTTACGGTAGGAAGAGTAACCAATGTCCTTCTTGATCGTTTGGCAGATCGTCGACTTGTGACAGCCCATGTCGGTGGCAATCTTGGCGTATCTCTCGTTTCCATCATTGTCGACTGTCTCCTTGACGGCGGCGACGAACTCGTCGATCGTAACGGCCGAAGAACGAACGTTGGGGGCCTTTCGTTTGGCCGTAAACTCGTCCTTATTCTGAGACGCCTTCCACTTCCTCCAAATATCCATGTCCATGGTCCTCTTGAGCACTAACCAGGCCATCACTTCCGCAGGCTTCTTTCCGACGCGAAATGACGCTACTACCGCTCATATTCCATCCTGGAAAAGGGTAGAGAGAAAAACGTTAGTTGTCAAACTGTTGGGTATCTGTATATATAACTTTTGTTTTTTTTGCCTATATCGTTTTCATTTTGTCAAGTGTCGGATTTTGCTGCAACATCCTGTAAGAATATTAACAATTACTAATCTCAAAAATGAAACACTAAATTAGGTATGAAGTTACTATCATAACCACATGTCAAAAAAACCATCAGACATTGACTATAAAAGGCTTCCCCCTAAAACACGCCAAACCTTCGGGACGGTGGTGTAGAGGATATAGGAGTTGATTATACGCGTTCCTGTCATCTAGTGGTCATGAGTTCAATCCTTGGATCTGGTAGTGACGCATCAATTCAGAAGGAACGAATAATCACTGGGACAAAATATCGGTAGAATCAATCAACAGGTGCCCCATATCAGCCAAACAACGTGCACCAGAGCGTACTTAGTCGAAACGTCGTATCTATAATAACATCTATATAAAAAAGGTGTAAACAGTAGTTCGAATAATACAAGAATATTGACAATAACCCATATCAGAAAGGGTATACTAAAAGTAGAGACGATAAGACAAAGTGGGAAAAAACTATTCGGCTACACGTTTCGTCTGTTAAAGTAGGCGTCGTCGAGCTAGAATGAGAGACAAAGGTGTGTTGGAATATGGAAAGAAGCAATAAATGGCTGATGCAACTGAATAATTCATATTCCAGCCAAATTCTTTACATTCGCTTTCAAATAAAAACAATTGGGAAAGGTATAAATTCATTTCTTCCCTTCTTCCAACTGTAATTTAAATTTCATGTAAGACTTGGCTCTTTAGCCTTGTTAACAGCCAGCCTAAGAGATGAACAACTATGAATTAAAAACCTGCCAGGCCGAAGCTATCAGCAGTCATCTTGAGCATTCTTTCCATTGGGTGATTTAATTTTTTTTTTTAAAGCAATTCACCCCAAGCAAGGTGGGGTGCTACTAGCATGCAAAGGATTATAGAGGATTGAGAACAAGGCCCGACAGTTTATTTAGCAACAGTTAGAGTTACATACTACATTATTTTTCAATATAACCGCCGGCGGCGGCGACGACGACCATCTCAAGGCGGGCGCGAAATGAGCTACATGCTTTGGCGACCATCTCCTTGTCCATAGCGGCAAACGCCTCCACAATGGCAGCCTTCAGAGAGTCGACCATGTTGTGGGCATGCTTGTTGGTCTTGGCCTCCATCACGCCCCAGAAGAAATAGTCAAAGGGGTTGCAGTCACGTGAGGAGGGCGGCCACAAGTCCGGCGACCAATTGTGAGGAACATTGTTGAGCAGCCACGCCTGGGTCGTCTTGGCCTTGTGTGGAGGAGCGGAGTCCTGCTGGAAGACGTAGGGGCCTCCGGCGGCGATCTCGTCCATCCAGGGCTTTACCACGCTCCTCAGCACCTCCAGGTAGATCTCAGCAGTTTATCTCAGGCCCCTTTACGGCGTATTTAGGGAAAGAAATCAGAGAAGGACGAGGAATAAAGTATCCGATATCGATTGACATTACACTTGAATATTTGAAGAATATAGTTACCGGGAAAGCAAGCAAGATGCAGGGAGTTCCACAGACGGAAAATGCGAGAAAAGAAGCTGTTTGAGTAGAAGAGAAGCTTACATTTAACCGTTTTGACAGTGAATGGGTGGGACTGAAATGCCAGCCTGGTAGCTCGCTTAAATTCATGCATTCTGGGAACCAGCGGAAGTAGCTCGTCAGAACAGTTGCCGTGAAAATACTTGTAGGGGAGACAGGAGGAAGCCACGGCACGTCTGTAAGAAAGCGACTGTAGACGAGATTCCAGATCAGGACCTATCACATTGCATATTCGTCTCTGGATGTTGTTGAGGTCCTGATGGTAGTTGATGTTGGCAGTATCGAGTTTATTGGTACTTACATGCAAGAAAGTGGTCCTGCTTAAAATAGAGCAGACGACTATCATATATTTTATTACTATAAACATTATAAGTTAGTCGATATACATTTGAGAAGATACTCTTGTCTTTAAGCAGTGTAATTAACGTCTATCGGCCTCGACTATCATGTTTTAATAAAGGAAATATGCCAACCCGTGTCCACCTTATATTGGGGAATCCAGATTTGCTTCGAATGGTACCCACGAGATACGTATATTTCTTCATCCTTTGACCCCTGCGTTCCTGAACAATTTTAACCCTTCTGCCTGAGCTACCGAGTCAGATTTCGTCAAATAACTGGGATGTATTGTTTCACGGTAGATATAAAAATAGTTTTACCCACCGTTGAACTAGTGTCTGGGGATTAAGTTATTTTTCTCTACCACTGTTCAACCGGTGGTTAGGCATTGCGCCATTTTTCTCTACCACCGGTAAAGCGGTAGTCTGGGCTCAAAGGGTTAAAAAGGGAACAGGTACCTTCTTTTTCGTGAAGTCCTTCATGGTTGAGCGGGCTAAAGCACACTTGGATCGATTGTGGTTTTCTCAATATAATGGAATACTTAGGTTTGAAGCCTGCCAAAAAGTACTTTTTCTTTATTACGATTCTTGAATGTCTACATCGGTAGACATTGAATTATCCTCAAGGACACATGGTACAATGGTTAAAGGCGTTAGTTAGATCCAGTGACAGGACACAAAGAGTGTGAGTTCAATATCTAGTTAAGGCGGTGGAGAACTTGCAAAGGGGAATTAACAGGAGATAACTGATAACTGACATCCATTAAACATAGCACGTGTAACAAGAACAGTCTACCCCAGTGAGCGAAATAAAGGGTTCAGTTCGACATTCCAACCACCTGAAGAAGGCCGGAGCGTACAGCGGCCGAAACGTTGTAATAAATATGGCGACAAAGATGAGGACAATAGTCCGAATAATGTAAATAATAGACATTGAATTACATTGTTTAAAAAAACAGGGATGTCTACCCAAACACTTGCATCTACTAAATAAAACGTTTGTAGTAAAAAAAAAATTGATATCGGATCCTAAATAAAATTCCATAATTCTTTAGAAATCACTTTATGTTTCGGAGATGAAAAGAAAGTCAACAGATATGATTTTCGAAGAGTTTAGTACATTTCGTTGTTCCAAATTTGGCCTCGCTGATTCGTTGGACTATTCGGCACAGCTATTTTGGCGTCAGACTGTTTCGACGTCACTGTCTTTGACCGAAGGCAACCCTGCAAAACAAAGGAGAATCTATGAGTGGAATATTCACTTGTCTTAATTAATGCGCACGTAATATAGTTCTCTTGCACAGTAATTGAGACAAGTTGAGACAAGTAAGATCACTAAACAAGGCTGTTAACTACGTTCTCTTTCGCGCTTAGCTTTCCGCAACGAATGGATACAAACAACGCCAGTAATGGCTGTCATCAACGACGCGAATGAATCCGAGCTTTTACTGTCGATAACACCAAAATGGTAGATTTTATCAATTTTATCAAGCCAGAATCGAATGGAACCTGTACAATTACACATAAATGTTTATAGTCTGGACATTTTTAATGCGAACTGAGCGCGTGTGTTACACTGCAAATTAACCAAAAAAAAAAAAAAAAAAAAAAAGATAAAAACATTGAAAACACCCAACTTTCAATATGACTTTTTATTCATTTAGGGAATTAAGGATCCTGTTAAAACACTATTCGAATAATGTAAATTTAAAACTTAAATAAAAATATATTGTATTTCAAAAAAGAAAATTTAAAAAACTTAGTAAAGCTATTTAATCTTCGAAATTACTTCTTCATTTCGTAATTATGAGCAACACGCTTCAGGAATTCTATAGGATCTAATGATTTAAATTCCATTATGACATTTTTGATTCGTTTCTCAGCAACTCTATATATTTTTAGCTTCTTGGGAGGTGAATATACAGCAATCAACATTCTGTATCAATTTTGTTTCTTCCACGTTTTGATAAAATATTTGTTTCCATTTGGAATAAAAAGGCTTTGACAACTGAAAAATATGAAGCTGTACTGAAGGAAATAATATAAAAATACCTCCAACTACTCTTTTTCTTAAATTTAAAAATGCCTCCAAACACTCTTTTTCTTAAATTTAAATATGCCTCCAAATATAGTTTCTCTTAAATTTAAAAATGCCTCCAAATACTCTTTTTCTTAAATTTAAAAATGCCTCCAAACACTCTTTTTCTTAAATTTAAATATGCCTCCAAATATAGTTTCTCTTAAATTTAAAAATGCCTCCAAATACTCTTTTTCTTAAATTTAAAAATGCCTCCAAATAGTCTTTTTAAAATTTAAAAATACCTCCAACTATTCTTTTTCTTAAATTTAAAAATGCCTCCAAGAACTCTTTTTCTTAAATTTAAATATACCTCCAAATATAGTTTCTCTTAAATTTAAAAATGCCTCCAAATACTCTTTTTCTTAAATTTAAAAATACCTCCAACTACTCTTTTTCTTAAATTTAAAAATGCCTCCAAGTACTCTTTTTCTTAAATTTAAAAATGCCTACAAATACTCTTTTTCTTAAATTTAAAAATGCCTCCAACTACACTTTTTCTTAGATTGGACTATTCGAGCATATAACGACGAAGTACTAATTTGACTACTAAACGAAACAGGGAGAGAGAGAGAAAGAGAAAAAGTGAGAGAGAGTAAATTTGACTATAACGACGAAGTAGTAATCTGACGCCTAATCATTCCTCTACCGAAAAATTCCTATATCGAGTCGGCTACGCCGAATCGGTCACGCTGAATCAGCGACGCCAAATGAGCTACGCCGGAACATCCCAATCCCGTTTTTCAAAGGCTCCTCCGAGTGATGCTTTTCTTAAAAAGGATAATTGGCGTCTGAGCTCTCTAAAGTAAACCTAACCTGAACGTGATTACCCCAATATAAGAGATGCTAATATTGTTTTAACGACTAGAATTACATAGCACAATAAAAATATAGATTCTGAAATAAATTAATATTATAGCAAAGACCGACTTTCTTAAATCGCTGGAAGCCATTTTTAATTATTGATCTGAAAAAGCTGCTGCATACAACTGACAGTTTATGTATATTTTTTATCAGGTTTTGGCGCCATGGCTGACATCCATATGAACGTCTCGATCTGATGAGGCTACATAAGAATATAATATGGCGAAAGGGCAATTTCTCATCCTCCATCTTTAAGGCATTCTTTTTTGGACAAAACGTCAACATTCAAAAAAGTCTGACTCACGACTGAACGATGAAAAGTTTTAATCTTGAACATACTAGAAATCACCACCAAAACAAACACCAATGTCAAGTTGCGGTCATTTTATATTAACATTGAGTAGCGGGCACAAATTTTACCAATATCTGATATCTATATATATAAAACTGTAGCCTCTGTCTGTCTGTTTGTTTGTTATTGAACTCCTCCTAGGCTTTTTGGAGATAGAACCTCATAACCATATATATATATATATATATATATATATATATATATATATATATATATATATATATATATTCTAAAACTACATTATACAGGGTACCTGGATAAGTATGTTTCATTTTGATCAAAGGAAGTCTCCGAGGGTGGGGAGCACGAACCACACACTGATTTTTTTCCCTTTGGTTTAAACTAAATTTAAAATTTGAACAACGGAATGACTCCTATCCAAAATATAGAAGGAGAAAGTCAGAAGATGGAGGTCACATCATCAAGATCATTGAGTAATACTGAAATGCATTATTTTTCTCCACAAATTATAACAATGATTTAAAATCAATCATCATTTTCTTACAAAAAGATATGTGACACGCTGCAAGGTGCGGAAAATCCGACTAGTATAGATAGATAGATAGATAGATAGATAGATAGATAGACATTAACTGACTGAAAGATATATATATATATATATATATATAGATAGATAGATAGATAGATAGATAGATATGAACAGTGATAGAGATGAACCGAGTGAAACAGATTCATAGATATGATCAGAATATAATAGATAGATAGATAGATAGATAGATAGATAGATAGATCACGTTGCCTTGATAAAGTCTCTCAGAGAATGAAACGCGTCAGCTAAGTGTAGCTTTTTCCTTTTATCTGATTTTATTCATAGATATGAACAGAATTAGATAGATAGATAGATAGATAGATAGATAGATAGATAGATAGATAGATAGAATGGTGTTTTGGTCGTCTTCGGAATAATTTTTTCCAAGATCCTGACATCAGAACAGTCACCAAAATGTTAGTAGTCGGCAGTAGTGATTCCAACTCTCCTGTATGCGTCTGAGAACAGCTCAACTTATCGATGACTTCTGAAATTCCTGGAAAAATATCACCAGCGTTGTGTTCGAAGTATCTTGAACATCAGTTGGGAAGACAGAAGGACTAAAGCACTGGAACAAGCTAAAATGACCAGCATTAAAGGCATCGTCATAAAAATTAATTTCGATGGAATCGACAAATCTTTTATTCCCAAATTGTCGAAAGAAATCGGAAAATCGAAGGTCAAAAGAAGAGAATCAATGACGTTCTTAAAAACAAAACCTGAAGAAATATAACATCGACATCAACAGCGAGTGATCCAGTGCCCCGGACAGGAATCTCCGGAGATCCATTGTCAGAGAGTGAACAACAATCTTCGAATCAGCCAAATTAGAGGAAAAAAAAAAGAAGGCGTCGAACAGAAAGACAACACCAACAACCAAGACGTAATCCATTATTCGGAACAACTTGTCCTCAATGTTGAGGGGACTTGCAAGAAAAAATCGGTCTCTGAGGCGGGTAACCACCTCAGAGACCACAACCCCAACTGACTGAGGCAAATAGGAACAAGAGCAAATAGGAAGATCATGAACCTCGACATCGAGGGATAGCCACATAGATGCTGTTTATTGTGTTATTTTCACACTGTGATGTCAGTTGTCTTGCCTGTTGAGCTCGTGCTTCGTTACCGGATCTAGAGATTGAATTCATGACCAATTGATGAGAGTAACATACTTAATCAATGTCTATATCCAGCGTCCCGAAGTGATGCATTTTTCTCGCCTTTATCGCGCGATAAAGGGTCGTACCAGGTGTATGTACTGAAGTGGTGTTTCTTAAGCAAGATACCCTGACGGATCCCATCCTTCTTTTGAATTCACTATAGTTTGAATTCACTATGTCTTGCTATTTTATCCATAGCTGTGTAAAAGAGCAGGACATAGTGGGGTTAAAAGAAGAGGATTCATACCTTTCCCAAGGGTATTATTACGTAATGGATCCGACTGGAATTCGAAATAGGCTCTCCGATTTCTCAATCGAAGCCGCTATCCATTCCTCCAACGTGCCACCTTTATCCTTTATATCATTAGTCTTATTAACTGCTTCGTATTGGCTTTCATGACTACAGATTCCCTTTTTGAAAGAATTAATCATCAATATACTTTAATTATTTCAAAATATTATTCTAATCTTGTTTATTTATTACTAGCAGTAGAGCCCGGCGTTGCCCAGGTATGTAACAGTAAGAGATAGATCAAGTATTGACCATCATAAAGACTGAAAAATAAAATTGACAAAGATTATTGTTTAAGGTTGACGGACACGCATGTCTTAATTAGTTTTTTTTTTTTTTTTTTAAGAATTGGTCAAACCAAAACTCAAACAAAAACATTGTTTACAATCGTTATGAGTCTATCGATTGGTGAATAGAATTTTATTATAAACAATTGTCTTGTAAATGGAATTTTTAAAACATTCTGAATGTAAATAAAGAAAAAAGTTCGCAAGACAATAAGAAATACTACCTGCCGAAAAAAAAGTGGATGTTTGTTTTATCGGCTGAAAAATGTAAGAAATCCGATCCCATATATAAAGGAACACACACGCACACACACAAACAACCTGGGTTTTTTAACCTAAGTCACTCCACGGAATCGCTAAAACATAGAGTATAGTCTGATGAAAAAGACGCCAAAGTTTATGAAAACAAAATTTTATCGTTAAAATACTTATGTTTTTATGAAGAGGATAGACTAAATTTTTTTTTAATTATTTTTAAAAATTTTTCCATCTTTTTAGAATATTCTAAATTTTGATTTAAAAAACCTTGTTTCTCTTTGTCGCAACAACGGGTAGTAAATAACATAGATATTTTTTAGCGCGTTTTTTTGTATTTACACACATTAAATTGGAAAATCTTGCAAAAATAAAAATAATTGTCAGATGTTAATGAATCTTTCAGAAACTATTCACAGATGATCGAAATTATTATAAATATTTTTTTTTTTTTATTAATGTCATGGCAGAAATATTTTTTTATATTTATTAACACCCCCATAACTAATTTTATGAAAAACTCTAGAAATTCGAGACCATCGGTTTTAGTGATTACAATAGTTAAAAGCACAAGGCTTTGAAGAATGCAAATCATGTTTTTTTTTTGTTTTTTTTTGGCCAACGTACCTGAAAATCAGCTGTGAATTGTAACATACAAAACTCAATAAAACAAATATATTATTTAGTTTCAAATGCTTTTATTTGTTTTAATTTGTTTTTATGAATATGGAAAATATTTTCTGGAAGCAAAAAATTTTTTCAATGAAAATTGAATTTTTAATACAATTATTTCTTATTTCTTTAATTTTAAAAAGATTTAAAAAAATGTTTAAATTGAATTTAAAAAAATATTTTAACATTAGTTAAATGCAACATCAACCTTTCAAAATGTCCGTGTGAGATTGTCATTGTCTAGCGCTTTGAAAATTGTATAATTTGGACCAATCAGATTAGCCATGGTAATTAAGAAATGTAATTTTTGTGTTTATAGTCGGACAGTAATTATCAAGTACGGAAGACCAACCAGAATACAATTTAGTTGCATTATTTGAGTTCAGCATTGTTCTCCGCTGTTAAGCCCTTTACTTTTGCGAAAAACGTATGGAGAAGTTAATTTGAGTTTTCAATTTCAACTGAGAAGGGTACCTACAAGTAACAGTATCATCTTATGAAATTTAACTACTGCTAAACTTTAATTTATATGATCTTATTTTTATATTAATCTCAGTTATGACATTTTTCCAGAAATGAAATATCAAAATTAATAATAAAATGAATGGAAATACAAATAACACAGTAAAATGTAATAAATGTACATAAAATTATAGTATTTTATGTACACTTCTGATAAAATTTCATAAGAAAGGTACCTAAATTAATTAGATACCTTTTCTTATGAAATTTAATCTCACTATTAACAGTCTTATTTTTAATTTCTTTATATTTTCCATAAAGCATCGTAAACGTAAAAATGAAAGCTAAGTACAAAAAAAAAAAAAAAAAAAAAAATTAGAGCGCTGAACGTTTTCCTTAAAAGTAACAAGGTAAATAATTTGTTCACTTAAATAATTTCACTTCCTTCCATCCGTAGAAAGAATTATCCTCCCGTAAGTTATCTAAACGTCATGAATGTGCCTTTCGTCAATCGTCAAGCGACGCGAAAGGTTATGACCTGCTTTGTTTTATTTTCAAATTACATTTTTTCGGCGCAGAAGCTAAGTTAAGCTTGGTTCAAAATATTTTAAATAAACAGTATAATATCTGTTTTTATTAAAATCAGTTTTGAAAAAATGATAATTGATTTTTAAATGAATATCAAAGTAAGATTTTAATCTTTTTTATCAAATCGAAAAAAATGATTAAAAATGATTGATTATCTGTCCTTTTTTTTTTACCAAAAAAAAACAATATTTTAACGAAAATTTCAGACGTGCTAGGAACGATTAAAAAATGTAAAAAATACTCCAAAAATACTTTGATCTTTCCTCTTTAATAATAATATGAACATTAGACGATAAAATTTTGTTTTCGTCAAGTTCGGCGTCTTTTCATCATGCTATGCTCTTTTGTTTACATTTTCGTGGGTGAGTTGTCCCCTTCCATTCTCACGATGTGTCTTAATCGTGTTTTCAAATTGATTTTCTTAAAAAACAACTGTGTTTTTCCCATTTTCGGCGCCGTTAGAACCACCAAAAGGTAATTTTATGTAGTCCTGTGAAGTTTTGTTGAAATCGGCTAAAAATGTAGGAAATTCGATCCAACATATAAACGTTACAGACACACACACACACACACACACAACCTGCGTTTTATAATAAGAAAGATATATATATATATATATATTACTATCAGTCTTCGTCCGCTCGCTATCGCTTCGCAAAGTAAGATATATTCACTACTTGAAATCATTAAAACAAAAATTTTAAATGAACATTTCATTCATAAATTGGCTTGTTATTTGGAAATTTTTACGAATAGATTCCAACTTGCTGAAGGCCAAGTAAAATGCAAATTCCAAACATTTTTCTGAACTATATAAGACAATATTCCTAAACAAAACTATTTTTGATATGAAAATCAAAACAATCCTCGAATAAAAGAACAGTAAAGAAGGACAGTTAATTAATCAAATATACTTTTTTTAAAATCAATATGCAAATTAGTTAAAGCTGAAGTGTGATATTGCCTAGAAGTCGATAATTCAGCTTTTAGTGCGTACGACTGGTGTTTCTTACGCTGCTATTTAGTAACTGCCATACGCAATCACATGTGGCACAAGGCCGAATTTAATGTGGGGTTCCCGAGCCCGTAGGCTTGGTCAAAAATATACCCTTTGAACCCGTATAAACGGGATCAGGGTCGGTTTACCTCCACGAACGAAACTCCGCCCTTCACGCTGCTGGCGACGGCCCGAATTGCGATTTGGACGACGCGACAGCAGGAAGTCTTGCAAGGCAACCGTCTTTCTCATCAGGATCTAATCCGATTCTTTTATCATCACTTCAAGATGAAGATTAGAAATGATAGAAAACGCTTGCATTCGACAGTCTTCAGTGAAAGGTGGGTGAAGGAGGCTAGCCTTGATTTTTCTCTTTTAGGTCAAAGCAACGTCACATCTTGGTTAGGTTAGACAAGCTTTTTGTAAGTGTTGTTCCTGGCCTCTTCCCGGCTGCATCTATGATTTGTTTATGATCCAAGTTGAGATTCCCAACCTCCCCTAGTTTGTTTTGGCCCCTTTTTATCTCGACTGGGTCACCTTTCTTCTTTCCCATGTCCATATAATTTTCTCCTTTCCCACTCCCTTCCCGAGAGAGCCTCTTGAATGGGCAGAATACAGCGGCCTCTCTTTTTTTGAGAATTGGACGGGCCCTACTAGCATCAGTTATGTTTAGTTTACTTTGTGTTCATGTTTAGTTTGTTATTGGGTTCATCTCCCTTCCCTCTCAATCTCCATCTTTAGAATTGTATATATAATAATTTATCATCATTAAATTTTATGGCATGGGGCGCGTTTTGTAGGTTCCCCTTGAGAGGATGTGGTATTATGGTGTCTGGAGGATTGATTGGTGACTGACAATTTTTTGTGGTGAATATGCAAATTGTAATGAGTGAATGGGTCGAAGATCGGATTAGCTAGGTATAAGATAGTGATTACCAGCCATAACCCCTCCCCTTTATTTTCGGCCTTGTGCCATAATTGTATTTTTATATACAATAAATACCAGTAGAGCTGGGGTTTTTTAATCTCAGAATTCGTGGGCGAATTGAGCTCCAATTTCGGATTTATTCATATAAATTCCATAATATACATTTTACTTAATTAGCTATTATGTTTCTCTAACTCTTCAAATGTTGACTGTATAACTAATTCTAATTTTTATTTTCCCATCTTTACACTATATTAATTTTATCTTATAAATTGTTCCCTATTCTGTCACCTATGAAATAAAAATAATTGTTTGTACGGAAAATAAGGATCTACGTACATAATCAGGTGTCCATTGTTGTACACGGCTTTTTTCACAGAGTTGTTTTCAACGCATGACCGTGTAAGGATCTTGAAACATTCTACCGATGTGATTGGAAAGACTCTGCCACTGACGTCGCAAGGGCGATAACTCTAAAACTACAGCTAAAATACTGATTTTTCTGTTCCACTTTGCAAGCTACAATATTTTTTTTACCGTAATATTTCACATTTTGTTTGTTATGGATTTTTAAAAAAAGTAACAGTAATGTCCAGCGACGATCATGAGTCTTAGCTCTGCAAAAATAAATAATTAATTTTCGAGCGTCCCCAGTTAAAATTTGATCCATTTTCTGCAAGATTAAGAAGGCTATAAATTACTGACTTCCAGCCGAAGTATTTTTCTAGACTGAAGACCTTACCTGATATCGGCAATAAAGAGAGAGAGAGAGAGAGAGAGAGAGAGAGAGAGAGAGAGAGAGGGAAGAAGAAAGAAATGGTTTCTTTTTTTTTTGTCTCTGCTACTGGAATCAACAAAGAACCAACTCAACTGTCAGTACAGTCCCCAGTGTAAAAGAAATATTTCGTCGTACAAAAGAGGATATTTTATTGGGCCTCTTAATGCAGGGGATTAAATATCGTCAGTTAAAGGCGAAGAAAATACAAGAAAAATGAACAAAAATCTTTCTCTTTTTAAACTTTTTTTTTTCATTTTTTTCCCGGTGAAAAATTTGCTGCTGTATTTTGTTGTTGTTCCTTGAACTTCGGGATGCTTTTTTTTGTTTTTGTTTTTTACTATTTCTAAGTTCACTAGCATCTTTCTTTCGTTTTTCTTTTTTCTCGTACGCCTTCCTTTCATTCTTTCTTTTTATGCCTTGCTTTTCTTTCTTTCTTTTTTCTCCTACTTCTTTCTTTCTTTCTTTCTTTCTTTCTTTCTTTCTTTCTTTCTTTCTTTCTTTTCTATCTACGCCGAGCTTTCCTTTTTCCTACGTATTTCTTTCTTTTTATCTACGCCTTGTTTTACATTCTCTCTTTCTTTCTTTCTTTCTTTCTTTCTTTCTTTCTTTCTTTCTTTCTTTTTCTTTTTGCGCCTTGATTTCTTTTTTTTCTACGCTTTTTTTCTTTCTACGTCTTTTTTTCCTTTCTTTTCTTTCCGTCTTTCATTCTTTTCTTATGTATTTCTTGCCTTTTCTACTTTTCTACAACTTGCTTTTCTTTCTGTTTTCTGTGCCTTTCTTTATTTCTCTTTCTGTCTTCTTTCTTTCTTTCTTTCTACGCCAATCTTTTCTTTACTTTTCTTTCTTTCTTTCCTTTCTTTCTTTCTTTCTTTCTTTCTTTCTTTCTTTCTTTTCCTACGTCTCAATCATTCCTTTTCATCTAATTTATTTACTCTTTCTCCAATTTTCTTGTAAACGAATTCAAAGTCCTCCAAAGGTTTAGAATTTTATTTTTCGCGCCCGTCTCTCGAATGTTGTCCTTATACCACCTTGTCCGCCATCACCCTACCATTTTATAGCCTCGTAAACAGGATAGAATTAAGAAAAAATTTTAAAAATGTTTTGACAACAACCATCAAATATATATTCTTCTGAGATCCCACGCATTAATATAGAAAGAACAGGCATCAATATATCTGGATCTATCATTTTGGAGAGTCATCCTCTTATTCCTCATATTCCTTATGTACCACAGGTTTGCCCAGCATGTTCACACTGCCGAGACAGTGCAGAGTCCGTTGGTTGGGCCACGTCCATTGCATGCCAGACGCCGCATCCCCAAAGACCTCCTGTATCGAGAGCTGGCCACCGGAAGGTGACCCGCCGGGCGGCTACAGCTGCAGTACCGCGATGTCGTGAGACGCGACATGAAAGCTGTGAACATCAACACAGAGTCCCGTGAGAGCCTGGCAGCCATACGATCTGAATGGAGAAGAACCCTGACGAAACACCCCAAATCAGGGGAGGAGAAGCTGACACAAGTCGCCAAGGAAAGGCGGGCCTGCAGAAAGCAAAGTGACAGCTCCAACAGATCAGCAAGTAAACATAATACCTCATCTCAGAGATATAGAGGCCGAAACGTTGTGAATATCGCAAGATGAGGATAAGAGTCCGAATAATGTAAATAATGCAAGTAATCATAATACCTCATCTCAGAGATATAGAGTTGTGAATATGGTGATGAAGATGAGGATTACAGTCCGAATAATGTAAATAATGCAAGTAATCATAATACCTCATCTCAGAGATATAGACAGATATTGATAAGAAGAGACTTGAGGCAACAGAGATCAAGTCTTGAAGAAGAGAGATGGATGAACTTATGAGCATCATTTAGGAAAATGGAAACAAAAAGGAGGCTCTTGAACTTAGCATCAGAAAGAGGGAGCTGAAGTTTCTAGAGTGCATAATGAAGAAAGAAGACTTCGAAAATTTGACACACACAAGGAATATTGAAAGCTAGAGGGACAGAGGGAAGCAACAGACAACCTACCTAACTGAATATGAAGATTACATTGCGTAGAAAGGGGTGGGGGCATTTCATATCTCATTATGGTCGTATCTATCTATCTATCTATCTATCTATCTATCTATCTATCTATCTATCTATCTATCACATTCTGATCATATCTGTCTATGAATCTGTTTCACACTATTCATATCTATCACTTTTCGTATCTATCTATCTATCTATCTATCTATCTATCTATCTATCTATCTATCTATCTATCTATCAGTTTCAGTCATTTCATTATCTATCTATCTATCTATCTATCTATCTATCTATCTATCTATCTATCTCAGTCTGTTCATATCTATCTATCTATCTATCTATCTATCTATCTATCTATCTATCTATCTATCTCATTCTGTTCATATCTATAAATTAAAAGAGATAAAAGGAAAAAGCTACACTTAGCTGATGCGTTTCGTTCTCTGAGAGACTTTATCAACGGAATATGATCTATCTATCTATCTATCTATCTATCTATCTATCTATCTATCTATCTATCTTATTCTGGTCACATCTATGGATCTGTTTTACTCAGTTCATCTCTATCACTGTTCTTATCTATCTATCTATCTATCTATCTATCTATCTATATATATATATATATATATATGTATATATATATATGTATATATATACATATATCTATCTATCTCTCTCTATATATGCATATATATATATATTTATAGATAGATAGATAGATAGATAGATAGATAGATAGATATGTAGATCAATGATATCTATATTCATCAATCTATCTTCATCTATCTATCTATCTATCTATCTATCTATAATTGGACGGTTTGTATAGATATATACAGAAATATGGAAGTGGCTAGAGGTTTAGTAATACATATACAGATCGAAACCCTGTGCATCTGTGCCACCGCCAATGCGTGCTTGTATTTAATTATTGTAGAAACCTATTGATAAACCCTGGGAAATGTTAACCGCGTTCTTTTCGCTGCCGTTGTCCCCCTCCTCTCTCCTATTACCTAAAAGAACACAGCAAGGAAAGAAGAAAACACAAAAGAATAGCAGAATAGAATAATCGCGAACAGGCATCAAAAGGTTTCAAAGTTGATAAAATGACAACGCAATGTCAGTTTACGTCTTGATTTTTGTCTTGCCTTCTGTACAATTCCTCAATGGGCGCTTTGTCCACCATATTAGTTGTACATGTTAGAGAACGAGTCGCTCCGTGTAAAAAGCCAGCAGACGATAGAGGAGTTGTCTGATTGTCTTTTCTTTTTCTTATTTTTAAAAGTATTTTCTTTCTGCCGTTCATTCATTCTTGTTGCTTCTTTTCTCTCACGAAGTTGATTATTTTTCACTTCTTCTCTTTTGTTCTCAATCAATCAAATTTTTAAACATCGTCTGTGGTTCTTTCATTTCTTAAATCTTTCAATTTGTCAGCTTTTTCTTATTTCATTCATTAAAATTTTTTCTACTTTCTCTCATTTTCTATTTTTTTTAATCATGCTCTTTCTATCGTTTTTTCTTTCTTTCTTCCTTTATTTTCATTTCACGGATATTATTTCTTTCTTTTTGCCTTATCTCTTTTTTCTTTTCCTTATTTATTTTAATCTTATTAATATCACTCTTTATTTCTTTTTGTCGTAATACTTAACCTTTCTTTTTTTTAATTTTCGATTTAATGATCTTTCCTTCTTTCTCATAACTGTTAGTCTTTCTTTCTGTTTTCTCTCTTTCTTTCTTTTTTATTTTTGTTTTAGTGATTTTTTTCCTTTCTTTCTTCCGTTTTCCTAATTGGTAATTTTTCTGTCTTTTTTCTCTTTCTTTCTTTCTTTTTATTTTCGATTCACTGGTCTTTCTTTCCTCGTTTTTTAGTTTCGATTTAGTGATTTATTCTTTCTTTCTTTCTTTCTTTCTTTCTTTCTTTCTTTCTTTCTTTCCTTTTTCTTTCTTTCTTTCTTTTTATTTTCGATTCACTGGTCTTTCTTTCCTCGTTTTTTAGTTTCGATTTAGTGATTTATTCTTTCTTTCTTTCTTTCTTTCTTTCTTTCTTTCCTTTTTCTTTCTTTCTTTTTATTTTCGATTCACTGGTCTTTCTTTCCTCGTTTTTTGGTTTCGATTTAGTGATTTATTCTTTCTTTCTTTTCTTTCTTTCCTTTTTCTTTCTTTCTTTCTTTTTATTTTCGATTCACTGGTCTTTCTTTCCTCGTTTTTTGGTTTCGATTTAGTGATTTTCTTTCTTTCTTTCTTTCTTTCTTTCTTTTTATTTTCGATTCACTGTTTTTCTTTCCTCGGTTTTTGTTTTCGATTTAGTGATTTATTCTTTCTTTCTTTCTTTCTTTCTTTCTTTCTTTTTCTTTCTTTCTTTCTTTCTTTTTTCTTTTTTCTTTCTTTTTATTTTCGATTCACTGGTCTTTCTTTCCTCGTTTGTTGTTTTCGATTTAGTGATTTATTCTTTCTTTCTTTCTTTTTTTCTTTCCTCCTTTCCTTCTTTCTTTCTTTCTTTCTTTCCTTTCTTTCTTTTTTTTCTTTCTTTCGATTTAATGATTTTTCTTCTTTTATATTCACCTTACTGAACCGCTTTATTCACTTATTTATTTTTGCCATCATTATTCTTCCTTCCTTTCTTTCTTCCTTTCTTTCTTCCTTCCTTTCTTTCTTCCTTTCTTTTTTTCTCGTTTTCCACTGGCCCGTATTTTCAAATTACCTTCATTATCCCTTCAGCCAACGCACACGAAAAAAGAGAGGACAGGCTGTCGTCTGTTTGGCACTTCACAATGTCTTTCTATTGTTCTTTATAAACGAACGAAAAACGATTCCTTTTAATTTCACCCAAGGAATCCAGGCACTTTTTTTCATTCCCCTTTTCATTTATATTGATTTTTCACCATATTTACACATTCTTTCCCGAATTTTTATCCACCTGACAAGAAACCATGTCGTTTCTCAGCCACTTCTACCTTTTGGCAACACTAACAACCGATACAAAAGCTACCGTTAAGAATAAACTAATAACAACGCTAATAACAAAGTAAGTAATAAACTTGTAATAAACTAATAATAATCTTTCGACTTCATAATGAGGTTAATATAATTCTCATATAAGATATATGATGAATATCTCATGATATGATATATGATGTGATATATATGATATCTATATATATGATATATATATATTTATTATACACTGTTACATTAGAACATGTAAATTACTACCACAAAATT